CGTCCACCTGAAAGGTTTCGTCGCGTTTCCCTCGTCTAGAATTCGTGTTCGTTTTCTTTTCTATTTTGTTTTCTTTATATCTGGCACTTCGGTAACGACTGTTCTCCTTGTCCGCGGTTTGGCACCGTCGTCCCGTTCCCGACGAAGCGCATATATTCTCTCCCGGTCGCTTCTCTTTCCCTCTTTTCCATCGTTTCCCGTTAATCCGACGAGCTGGAGAAAAAAGGAAAGGCGAGAAAGTGTGGTCCGATTAATTGCGGTCGTCGCATAGACTCGACGTTAATATATATATTCATGTATATATATAAATATATTTATACATATATTTATATATATATTTATATAGATCTACCTAACAGCTACGGAAACTCCTCTAATTTCATTTATCGGCGCGAGTAATGTCTACGTCGTTCCACGTTCTACCTCCAATTCCTACGGATCGACATTGTTTTCCACGACGTTTCGCGGAACGTAAAACCAGTTCCGCTGGCAATAATAGATTGTCATAGGTTCTCATTATTTGTTCATATATATATATATCTATATATATTTCTCTCCTTTTTTTCATTTTCATAAGTGCGTCTCCTCTATCCCTCATCATAATCATCATCATCGTTCGGTTCGCGTAGCAGGCCGGTCAGCCTCTATCCTACCAGCTGCCCCCCTTAGAATCCCGGTAGTCCCTAACCTCCGCGAACTCCTCTCCCTAACCTTTCATCCCCGTCCTCGAGTTTCGTTCGGCTTTGGCAAGTTCACGGCGACGAAGTGACTAGAATATAACGACTATATTGTCATGCACTACAGTCTTTTCCCAGACAGCCCAGCGCGTCTGGACGCCTGCCCTGCTCGACCGCCGTGGCGCCTCGTCGCGGACGCCGCGGGAAGCCGCCGGAAGAGAGACCGGTCCAGTCGCCGTTGGACTGTCCAGTCTCCGATTAAGACGGGTCCGCTGGTCCCCCGGAGGACGGTCTGTCGGCGGGTTCCCTGTCGGAGGTCTCCTCGGCGTCCGCCGGCTCGTCGGCGTCCTCGCAGACCGTCGACGCGTCCTCGTCGCTCGGCATCCTCTTCCGTAGCCCGCTACTGCTCGCCGAGTCGGTGTCGTCGACGTATATCCTGACATCGGTGCCGATGCTCGCGCAAACGCTGTCCGGTATGTAGACCACGGCGCTGCCTGTCCTGCTGCCGCTGCCGCTTCCGCTTCCGCTGCCGGTGACGCTGGCGCTGGCGCTGCCGTTCGTGCTGCCTATCACGCTGTCGTTGCCGGTGGACAACGGCGAAGCGTCCTCGGATTTCTCCTCGGCCACGTAGACTCGCCCGTAGCTGCCGGACCGGATCGACGAGCCGTACTGATCGGCTAGCACCACCGACGAGCCTCCAGCTTTCAGCTTGCACGGTCTCCTTTCGTTAATGATCGACTGCACGTCGAAATCGTCCGCCGGGGGAGCGGACACCCGTCTCTCGTCCTTGATCTTCGGCTCCTCGGGCTTGCCGGGCCGCGGCGTCTCGGTGCCGTTGGTCGCGCTTGCGGTCTTGGAGCCGGTGCTTCCGGAGCTGACGTTCGTCTCGGACTGCGATTGCGCGTCGCTGGACGCTCGGCGATTCAACGTCGCTTTGGACGGGTAAAAGGTGGCCGTTGGCAGAAGGTAGCGGTCGCTGGGCTGCTTCGGGCAGGACAGCGCGGCCACCGAGCCGGCCGGTGTCACCGGGGACGACGCGCTCGCCGATGGCGGTCTCGTCACGCTCAGCAGGGACTTGTCTTGCGCGTCGCTGGTCGCCTGAAACGATTCTACGCTTAGGATTCGACACGTTCAAGCTCTGGATCGTTACCTTGGAACCTGGCTTCAGGCTGAGACCCGCGTGAAACTTTCGAAACATTTCTTTACCGGACACGGGTCTCGTCCGGGAGCCAAGTTTCAATGATTCTAGGATTCAATCGATCGAACAGGGTCGTCGGTTTCGCTCCAACGAGGGTCACCTGTAACCGTTGACGCTGCAGTTGACCGGGATCGCGGGTAGCCGGCCCGTAACCGTGTTGCGGGATGATTCGAGGCACGCTTAGATTGCTGACAGGCTTCTCGAAGACCTCGGCGACTTCGAAGTGCATCGGCAGTAGGGACCTTCGCTGGTGGTGCCCCGAGTGGAACGTTTGGCGACGCTTCGACTTGAACTTGGACGGTCTCGAATTGGGACGATGGTACGAGCTGCGACGCGACAGCGACACGGAAACTGATCCATCTGGAAGATGATTTCTGGTGGAGGATCGTTCCGCTGGAAGTGACCGGTGCTCGGTCATTCAAGTACCGAAACTTGACGAGTAAAACGAATCAGATGCTCGAGTATTTCAACGCGAAGAATAAGATGAAATTGTACAATTCAGCTGGGAGATCGCTCGATGGCCATGGGACTCGGCTCAGCCAGTTCTTCTGTTGGCTTTGTTTCCTAGTTGAATTTGTTCTCTGCACTAGGAGACAGCTGGCCGTCCCGCTAGTCATCAAGCGATCTAGCAACTGTACTAGGACACAGTGAACGCCGTACCGTCCCCGCTCCTCTCTCGCGGTGGATTATAAATAAAGTTCGCAGGCAGGGAACGGACTTTGGCGAGGCCAGGCCTGCTGACTGGGATCTTGTCGTTCGTCGCCAAGATGGACTCGTGTTCCCTAACGTCGTCCTCCTCCCCAACCCCGCCGTCCACGTCCCTTTTCTTCCTGGGGCTGTCGTCTTCGTCCTCCTCTTCTTCGACTTCCAGCAGCTCCTCCTGTTCGGCGGCGAATTCTCTTTCCAGCTGCGTTTCCATATCCATTTCGTCCTCCATCTGACCAACAATTCAATTGGTATTATTACATGGCATTATCAGTGGAATCCGATTTAACATCCAATGTTTTCTACTTAGGTTTTCGTCTTCTTATTTTGCGACTATCGATACTCAAAGTGTTCGATGTCCGAAACGATTTTCAAAGGAAACAGCTTCACTGAAATATTCTAAAAGACACCCGAAGAAACAGTGGGAATATAGAATGTTTCCAGAACAACCTCTCACCTGCTTGTGACTCTCCTCTAGGTGTTTCATGAGCACCGCAACGACGACGTTCACCAGAACGAATTGCGCCATCAGAACGAAGATCACGAAGAAGATTGGCGCGATGATGGTGCTGACGCAACAGTTCTTCACGCAATCGGCCGCCTCGTCGCAGTCGTCCCTCAGCGTGTCCTTCATGATGCCGTTCCAATTGTCCCCGGTGGCCACGCGGAAAAGCGTCAAGAACGCCATGCCGAAGTTGCTGAAGTGGGCGTGCTCGCCTAGTCCTTGGCAAGGCATGTCATCGTTGCATTCTAAAATCAAATCCCAACGAGATTCGTTGACGAACAGCTCTCTGATCTTTCGCTCGTAGCTCGATTCTACCGGGACTCACCTAAACGACCGAAAAGCTCCACGCCGAGAGCGGCGAATATGAAAAAGAGCAGGAAAAATAACAGCCCCAGGTTGCCGACCTGCGGCAACGCCTGCATCACGGTGTCTAGAAGCGCTCGTATCCCCTTCGCCATCTTTAGCAGCTTCAGAACTGAAAGAAACGGCGTTTCTCGGAGAACGATCTCGTTAGAAAACCATGATGCTCACTGGGAGCACTCACCCCTTGCGATTCGCAGCACCCGCATCACTCGGATGATGGTGGGGTTGATGGGAATGATCTTCGACTCGACCTCCTCGAGGACGATACCGACCACCGACAGTATCACGATACCGATGTCCAATTGATTCCACCTGCGGTTCAAAGTCGACCGATAAACCAACGCGATACGCCATTGGAATTACAATGTCTACGATGAAACGCCGCGTACTTGTCCTTGAGGTACAGGTGCAGGCCCAGAGCGAGAAGCTTCATGAAGGATTCGAGGATGAAGACCGCAGTGAAGAAGTAATTGAAGATCTTCAGGGCGTACGTCAGAGCCTTCGGCATCATGTAGAACTCCATCGCCATCGTGACGACGTTCAGGCCGATCACCGCGGCGATCGCTAGGTCGAAGTACTTGGATGTGACGACGTTGTGAACGAACAGCCTGGATTTCGAGTAGTTCGTGTAGTAAGGCGGCTCGTGCATCTCTGAAGGAAACGGTAAGGATCAACAGTTAACATCGACGCGTCTGAATTCGAAAGACGCAAACGAGGAATTCGATTATTCGAACGAGAGCTCGTGTAGCTTTTTTCCCTAGTATTTAACCTCCATGCAGACATCTCAGCTCTCTAATGAAAAAGCTTTCTAAAAGTTGAAATAGTCCTCGTCCGCAGAGGGTCGAAAGGAATAGAATAAAATAGATTCGATTGTCTACTTCGTCGCTTCTTCTCCATCTGCAAGGCCCGCTTGGCGGCTCTCCGCACGCGTTCCTCCTTCTCTTGCTCCTCGCGGCACCTGTGGAAGTTCTCCACGACGACCCCCACGAACATGTTGAGCACGAAGAAACCGACGAGCAGGATGAACGCTATGAAGTACAGCAGGCGCCATTCCGAGTAGTTCTCGACGGGCTGTGAAGCGAGAGAAGACGATGGTTTATATTTAACACGTTAAGTGTCCAGCCCGACTTGCTTGTCGTTCCGTTCAGGCCCAGACGCGGCCGTCACCATTGACGGACGAGCCGAAATATCGGCTTGAAGACCGGAGTTTTCTCAATGTTATAATAATAACTCCCGAATATTAGGTTCAAAGGTGGCAAAGAATTTAACACAAAAAGTTAGCACCTTCTGCAATGAATGTAAAAGCAAACCACACCTCTGTTTACCCTGTTTTAATAAACTACATTAACTTTTTTTAAATATTATATTCTTTTTTTTTCAAGCCTTGAGTGAATAAAAACCGATGCCGCCTAAGCAAAATATTTAGTCTCACATCAGTGCGTAAGGACCGACACGCGCGGTCGTGTAATATGAACCTAAAGTCCCTAGGGACCGGCGTGGCGTTTAACGTGTTAAAATACGATGAACCGAGGATCACAGAGACGACAGGGGGATACCTGTTGGTCAACGCCGACAGCGTCCAGCCCGGTGTACATGATGTTCACCCATCCGTCACGCGACGACAGCACGAACAACGACATCAAAGCCTTCCCGAGGTCGTCGAAGTTGTATTTCCTGTTGAGCCAGACGTTCCGTTTGTCGGCTAGGCAGTCCGTCTTATTGCGCACGTTTTTAATGTCAGGCCCCTCGCAATAATAAAAGGCACCCTTGAAGAGCTGCACGCCCAAGATACCGAAGATTACGAAAAAAGTACAGCATATCAAAACGATGTTGCCGATAGGTCGTAAAGAAGACAACAGTGTCTGAACAACCAGTTTCAAACCGGGCGCTCGGTTGATCACGCGTAACGGCCTCAGCGACCTTAAAAGTCTAAAAACCTGCGGGCGGAGAGAGAGAGAGAGCTTTCAATGGTCAAACGTGTTTTCCAGCAGTGTCGCTTACGACTCGAACGTTCCAGACGTACCCTCAATATTCCAAATATCCTTGGACTACTAGACGAAAGTAGGGACATTGATAAATCGATGATGGAGATGATCACGAGGACTCCGTCCATGATGTTCCAGCCGGAAGTGAAGTAGGCGTCCGAACCGTACAGCATACTGGATGCAACGACCTGCGACGGTTAATTACCATTGAGTATCTTTGTCGTTTTCATTTCACTGGCTACTACTCGTTTATCTATTGTATACACCTTAACCCTTAGCAGTCCTTGAGGCAGACTCGCCATTCTATTTTATTGCAACCTCTACATGTTTTAACAATTTCTTCTATATTTATTTGTATCACAATTGTACCATTTAAAGGTAACATTTCAATGACCCCCAATATTCTTGAATAAATAGAGCGTCATATTAAGCTGTAATCGAATGAACTAACGTCGACGTGAACCTCAAAATGAGAAGCCAAGAACACTTCGGACCGCAAAGGGTTAATATTCACCTGTCACCTTTCACCTAACCACCGAATTTACCTTGATGAACATCTCGATGGCGAACACCCCAGTAAAAATGTAGTTCGCCGTTGATAAAAAAAGCCTTTCCCCGCTGTCGGGCGGTATGTTCGGCCGTTCCATCGCCAGAGTGATGCAATTCAGACCGATGAAGAAGAGGACTACGTTGTCGAACCATTTCTGATCGACCAGCTGCCGGCAGAAGACTCGAAACCTAAAGACAAACGGACGGACGGGTCACGGTGTCGTTCGGTTTCCCGAGGGTGAATCTCAAAGGTGAGAACAGCGGTCTCACCTGTTGTTCGGCGGGAAAAGATAGAGCGAGTAATCGTCGCGTTCTTTAAGGCAACCTTTCGGCTCGAAGAACATGAAGATCTTCTTGATTCTCTCGATGCTGCTCGCGCTGCCGTGGCCGTTCAAAGGGGCCGCCTGCTCGTCGGTGCGCGGATTGTCGTCGTCTTGATCGGGAAGTTGCTTGATTCTGGGCAGTGGACCGGTCTCCATCGACAGATTATTGATTGTACGAGCGGTGGCGCATTGCACGTGCACCTCGTCCAGCGGCAGCGTCTTCCCTGTCGGCGACTGAACGTTCTCGTAGCCCCGCAGCGAGTTTCTTCGCGACAGGTCGCCGATCCAACGCATCTTCAACGCAGAACGATACAACCGGTTGATACAACGTCTACCTTTCAGCTTATCCAACGGACATTCACGCTAAAACTACCGGACGGGTTCAAACGACAATTGCGATTATTCAAAAGACGACAGATGTTCCTCTGCGACATTGTCAAAGAGATTTAGTAGTACCCGAACTGAAATATAAACCAAATCCTGATAAATACGCTTATAGCTTCTATAAAGAAATATTAAAAGGACGGTTCAAGTGCTCGGTAGTGCGTTGGTACAAGATACACCGAATGAAAGTAATATTCAACAATTCGTTCTTTAGACTGAGTTTCATCGAAGCTCTCAGAGTGAGAGAGAGAGCTGCACTTTCGAACTTGTCAATTGACCTGATTAGGCGTCGCTGTGTATCGTCGCATGGAGGAGCCGCGGCTTCCGATCGAGTTATTAGGGCTGAGGCTACGATTATTGCTGGTTAGGACGGCCGTGCGATTATTCGGCGTGTCGCACTGTGTGTCGTTCCTTATCGAACCGTGCAGGTAGCCGCCGTTGAACGCCGAGTTCGAGCCGAGCAACGCGCTCCGGCCGTTGTTCAAGACGGTTGCCCTTCCCAGGGGCTCGTCCTCGCTTTGCGACCAACGTTTCCTCCTCAGGGAAGGTCTGGACAATTTCCACGAGTATCCTCTTTGTATCCGTGGCGGGCTGCGACAGATTGGGAATGTTAGATTCTACCTGAGTTCTACCATGCACGACAGTAGCAATGATAAATACTGCTGGTAATGAATACTAAGATTATAATAAATTAATCCACCTTGAACTGGATGCTTCCCTCGACACAGGATTGACGGCAGCCGTGACGAGGCTTATCCGCCGGGGAAACTGTCCGGCGATAAGGTTCTTGGTTGGTATTTTATTCGAAACGTCCGGTAGTTTCAGCAATCCGGAGGGAATGCTGCATTGGCTCTGCAATCGGAACGCTCGCGTGAGTCAGTCGGAAGCCACGAGGTAACCTTAAGAGTCCTTGAACACTAGAACCGCTAGACAGTTGACAATTACCCATTTCTGTTCTCTTTCACATTTACTGTACTATTATCAACACTACCAGCTGAAACGACCGGTTCCGATTGTTTCTCTTTCACGATTAACATCTCAAAAGCATCGAATATTCGAACCGATCTCGAGAACGTTCGAAGCAACCGAAAATAATCATCGCATTTCAACAGTTAGAAATCGTATGAAATGCTCGGTAGTTCCAGCGTTAATTACTGCGTTACACTAATTATCCACGTCTCCTCAGTTAGTTTATGAATCGTACAAGCAACTAGAAGAGTCGATTGCACTGTTCGACGGTTCCAGTGTCAACAGAGGAACGTTAGATATTATATATATATATATCTGTACGCCTGAACGGTCAATAGATTCGATCGACAACGCCGCGGTCGGGTAAACAGCCTGGCAGTTCAAGTCCCTATATCCAATGTCCAGGGTGGTGTTCGGCGAGTCCTGCGGCGTGGCCGCTGTGTGGGTGATTATCGGCGGCTGTCCCGCGCCCCCGAGCATCTTATTCTCCTTCTGGATGTTGCACTTCGGCTCGTCGATCTGATGCCTCCACACGGTGTTCTGCTTCTCCCTGCTGTTGTTGTCCTTGTACTTGCGCAGCTCCTCGCAGCTCTGCCAGGAGTTCTTCCGGTCCTAAGAGCAAATTCATTTCAGTGCTTCTCACGGCGGACACGTTAACCCTTTGCGGTCCGGAGTGCTCTTAGTCGCTCGGTTCGAGGTTCACGTTAGTTTATTCGGTTACAGATTAACCCTTTGCGGACGAACGTCGACGTTTCGACGAGACGAAACGTTCATAAGTGGTAGACAAATGATTTAATTACTTTTTTCTATTAATTAAGCAACTGATATATAATTTATTTTTGTTTCTTGAAGGTTTTGTACGTTTCAAAGAATCTTCGTCCGCAAACGGTTAATACGCTCTGTTTATTTATTCAAGAATGTTTCGGAGTCATTGAAATGTTACCTTTAAATGGTATAATCATGACGATACAAATAAATTTAGAGAAACTTGTTAACCCTTTGCACTCTATAGGCTTCGCTATGACAGCATTTATGCTATTAAATATTCTAATGAATAAATTTAGAAGAACTATCGTAAGATCACTGGATCTTCTATACGAAATTTTTTATTAAGACGGAAAATAAAGAAACCTAAGAGACGTTAGATTACAAAATCATCTGGAGTGCCAAAGGTTAAAACATGTAGAGGGTGCGATAAAATAGAATGTCGAGTCTGACTCGACACAGGACTCTGCTAAGGGTTAACTATTTCGCTGGTGGTGTCACGCGAAGGCAGCGAAGGAATTCGGAAGGACGCACGGGCATCGCGACTAAAAATAGCGGGGTTGTTTAACAATACAATTAACGATTCAGCACGGGCGCAGAGATTGTCCAATGGCAGGCAACGCGTAAGAGCAATCTAGATAGCCTGTGCGCGACGCATTAATTGGCTAAGTGGCCTTGAACACGACTGCAGCCTGCAACAAGTCATTGCGCCGGGGGTGCGCCGGGGATCGAACAAAACACACGGCTCCATGGAACGGCGTAATTACAGAGTAATTAGTCGCGGGCCCTGATGCTCTGTGCCTCGAACAAACGCGCAACGATTGATACACTAGAATCTGGATTCTCAATCCTTTTCATTCCCCCGATGCTCGGGAATTAACTATTTCAGGATATTCAATTCGACGATTAACTATTTACAACATTAAATTCGACGATCAACTATTTGCGATAGCACGCGGTAACATTAGATTCGAATATTCGGTAATAGTTCAGTTCCCAATCGTCCGGTTACCAATATCATTGAAATTTTAACCCTTTGCGGACGAACGTCGACATTTCGAGACGAAACGTTCATATTTGGAAGCCCGAGTCGCAAGCGAATGATTGAATTACTTGGACAGCAAGAGATTAGCATGTAGTTTCTGTTTTTACTATTATTTAAGCAACCAATATATAATTTAGCTTCATCCGTCGAAGGTTTTCTACATTTCAAAGAATCTTCGTCCGCGAAGGGTTAATAAACGCACGATTGCACAGACCAGTGTATCAATTAGGCGGGCCTTAGCGTTCTCATCGAATCACCTGAGTGTAAGTATCGCTATCCGTGATCGAGTGCGATCTAGATATCCTAGAAGATCCATCGTCGCTCCCCATTCCCACTTCTTTCGCCGCGAGCCGCGCCATTTCCCTCTGCTCGCGTTCTCTCCTCTCGTTCCTCTGTGAAAAGCAACAGACGTCAACACCTTGCCCTGCAATTTCTATTGGTTACTATATATGTAATACTTGTATATCATTGACACTAGGCTCACGGACATTTATTCTATCATTAGATAGATCGTTGATATCCCTGTAACCGAATACATAAAAATCGACTCGAACGTGCACCGAATATTGATAAAATCGAGTGCGCGTCGAGTCGACGCGTTCCGTGAACGTGGTGTCGTCGACGATCTAGTAGAAAGCAGGAAGAAAGCTTGACAGTTCGTTGGAAAGCGCAAAGCTCACCTCCGATGAGAATCCCTCGACGAGAATGGCGACCAGCAGGTTGAACAGCACGTAATTGCCGAAAGTCATCAGCGCGACGAAGTAGAGCGCGGCCCAATGGGACGTCTTCTGCATCCCGTTGAACAGGACCACGTTCCAGTCCTCCTGCGTCAGGATCTACACGCCGCAAAGAACGGAAATAGGAACGGCTGTAAACCACGCGGGCAACGCGGCGACGGATTCAACAGTTTCTCACGAGACGAACGATCTTTCTTTTCAATCGTCGATTCAAGCCATTATCTCATCCCCATTAGCAACGTCTTGATCTTCGACCCTTTGCGGACGAGTCTCGATATCTCGGCGGGACGAAATTTTCATATTTCGAGGAGCAAGCGGACGAATGACTTGATTGGTTGAACGGCAAGGGATCGGCACGTAATTTCCGGATTTGTTGTACAAGCGATCGATGTATAATTTGTCTTTACCGAGGGTTCTATATATTTCAAGAAGCTTCGTTCGCGAAGGGTTAACAGCTACTTCTTTAATAGCGTTAGAAGAATTAGATGCACAATCATAGAAGTAGAAAATTCATCGAACAACAGGGTGAAATTGACGAAAGTTAATTTTTCAGAAGTTAACCCTTTGCCGTCGAATGCTGCGAGCTTCGAGCATTCGCGTGGGAACGCGAAGTAAGGAGTTCATTGTTGAAATCGTGAGAGATCGACGGGTGGTTTGTTCTTTTCCGTGGAGAATTCGGTTTTTCCTGGACAGTTTTTGAAGGTTCGGACGGGTCTCGTTCGCAAAGGGTTAACCCTTAATAATTCCATATAATTGCATCGATATAAGGGAACGACGTTAGCCATAGGGTGACTTAATAATTTGCATTCGAGATCAAGAGAGTGCCGATCATTATTCGCCTCGCGGTGCGTGCTGTTTCTTTCTTTTTCCTAGCGGACGCCTGGAATTTCTCTCTGTTCGCAGCCGAAGTTCGTTTCTCTCGTTCGAATTTCCGTGAAACCCGTTCCTTTCTTTGGTTTCATTATATCCGAACTTGAGCTGCGAATGATTCACCGATTGCTCTCTCGAATTTGTCTCTTTCCTTTCGAACGTCGATCGTGATTCCGTACGGAGATTCGATGACACTTTCTTTGCTGATTTTTCACGCGCTAATCATAGAATACGTTACGCGACACGTTCAAAGAATTCCCCTTTAAATCAATTTCGACCAGTGACGTTTCATTGGAAAGAAAAACTGTGTATTTATAGCGCATTCCTCGAGCGCAAAGGGGTCGTTATTAAATCCGCGCGGAAAGTTCTGTCATCCGAATTCCTGCCGGTCAAAGTGTTAAATTCAATTTAATCCTTGACTTTGATAGAGACACGAGAAGCTTGCAATTTGAAAAAGAGAGAGAAACTCGTCAGCGCGTTGATAATCTTGTCGTGACGCTCCGTCGAAGCCATATATACGCAGAGTGAGAGTGAACGAGAGAATACAAGAGAATAGAAAAGAATAGAAGAGAGAGAGAAATAGAGACAGAGATAGAAAGAGAGAGAGAGAGAGAGGGAGAGAAAAGGAGGAGAGAAGAGAAAGTGAAAAATGGGAAGAGAGAAAAATAGATGAAAATAGAGGCGAGAGATCACAAAGAATCGGAAACAGGACAGAGCGAGAGAAGCGAGAGAATGTTTGTCCATTGGTACGAATAACGGAGATTGAAATGCAATTGCGTGACCCATTTTTCCCGTAACGTTAAATAAACGGTTCGCGGTAGAAGTGTGAAAGATAATTCGAGTCTGAGGAACGCGTTCGGAGAGTCAGAACGATTACCGTACATCGGTTTCATCGGAAAAGTTTCGACGTTTCGAATCCTTTGAACTCGATGGATTGGAAGTTTCATTGCTCGATGCGTTCGCGTCGATTGAACTTTGAACAGCCTCGGTTTCGCGTAGTTTAAATTCCTAATATTTCGAACTGCGAGTAATCCAAAAAATAAGTTCGATTCAGCTGAAACTTCCAAACAGATATCGAACAGATTCGAATAACTCAACGTTGGATCTCTTTTCGTCTAACAGTTAGCAACGAAATCGAACAGGAAATATCGGGAACGTGACAGGTTACGAATCGGAACGTCGCGCGTTACAAGAAAAAATGGGCACTCGATAGACACTCTTGTTCCTCGGAAACGCGAATATAGAAATGCAAGCTACAGGGTGTTCAACGCGAGTGACCGGTGACGGTTAACGGAACGATCGGGAGAAACGATTAAAGGAACATCGACGAGTAATGATGGGAAATATTCGAGGAGAGAATGAATCGAAATGAAAACGAGGCGAACGCATGCGAACCTCCCCTCTTTTCGCAGAAAGAAAATCAACGTTTCCATCTGAACACCCTGTAGACACGAATCACCGACGAAGGAGCACAGAAAGATACAGAAAAGTGAATATAGAATGTAGACATACGTAACGGATGCAAGGCAACAGAGATAGAGACATAGATATGAATACAGGTGCATAGATACAGATGTAGGGCAAATCGAGTAGAGATGGCCCAGTTTATTCCAAAGAACTACCACATCGTCGTTATCATTGATGCTTAATAAAAAGAACCAAATAACATATATATATATTTTAAAAGCATACATTTATAAAAGCAAATTTATAGAAGAATAATTCACAGCATGTAAAGTGGGACACGTTCATTCGCAAATCAAATTCTCGTATTTCACAGATTGCAGTAGTATCGATAAGAAAATGAATTTTCTAATTACAATTCTATTCGAATTACTCGAGCATGTACATCGCTGTACGTTGCCGTTTCAAATTTTGAACGTCTAATTTCCCTATTGGCCAGGGAAACCAATCGACAAGAATGAGAATCAGGAATCATTTGAAAATAATGGAAACGGCCATCTCTCCGGGAGCCACCCTAGAAACATAGTTATACAGATATAGGCGATATAGGTACAGGCACAGATATAGACATAGAATCACAGAGATACGGTGGAAAGAAGAGAAAAATACCTTGGTGCTCGTTATTTCTATTTAGTGCATTATACAGTGTGTCACATTAATGTATCGTATCGATCTTTCGATTCGCTCGATTATTAATTATTTTGTTTTCTTTTTTTTTTCTTTTTTCTTTTTTCAGGTGTAAGAGGGAGGAACAGTGGTACCTGAAAGACCGTGACAAGTGCCCAGACGATGTCGTTGAAATGTTTGCGGTCACAGCGACACATCGGGTGCCGCGAGACCACCTCGGCACAGGTGCAGGGCCGACTCCGGTCCACCCACATGCAAAACTTACCCCCGAACAGGTACATCCCTAGGATGCTGCAACCGAGACAATCCGCCGGCCTAAAGTATCGCCGCGATTCAGATCGACGGTTGGGAATTGGGGACCGGGTGTATTTATATATCACTCGCCGCACGCGAAGCGTCCTCCGTCTAATGAAAACCGAGCTTCCTCCAGGAATTCGACGGGACTCGTCGATTTTTCAACCGGGAATCGACTCCTTCTCGTGTTTTTCCAGAGCGTTCTTTGGGGATCGAATGAAATTAATCTTAGCTTGTTTAGGAATCGAATGGAATCGAGCAATCAGGAATTGATTCAGGAATCGAATAATACAACCCCTTGATTCACGCGAGACACACCTATTTGCAAAAATTCCTATCGAAAGTGAAATAATTGAAAGCAAAGGAATAGAATAAATTCGTTTGCCGGTTGAGAATATTCAATGTGCATATCGGTAACCCTTCCATCGGCGATTCGTTTCAACTGGATTCGATTGTCCGTCGAGAAACGGGTCGTCGGACGAAGATTCGCGTAACGTGTCCGATTCGAAAACGCGTGTTTAGGTTGCGTAATGGGCTCGATGCCAGCCCGAATACGGATTTGAATACTTTAAACGGTAATTCCGCGGCGGAATTGTGTCCCCGTTCGGTAATCGCGATATTATTCATCGGCTTGGAAACGGTTATTCCTTGCGGGTGAATAGAGTTGCGATTCAAATCCTGTTTAAAGGACGGCCGGCGGCCTCGCGCGATTTATATGTATGCATCCAGGCCGAGAAACATGGTTGCGTAACTGTCGCTAATGGCGAGGCTTCCTTCTTATTGATGAGAAAAGGCTGATTGTCGTAATTGTCTTTCTTCGTTCGATGAGTATCGTTTGTCTTCGAACGGGCCGGGAGTGTCGAGTAACGTGGTTTCGCTTCGTGGTTACCCGCCATGGTTCAAGGTGAGATTGCTGTTTGAAATTTTCAACGTTGCAGAGTTTCGATAGAAATTGTAGGTGATCGATGGTACAAGATAAAACTGCTGTTTGAAAATTATAGTAGAGGATAGAAGGGGAATGATAAAGTAACTTCGAACGTTGCAACATTTCGATGCGAATTATGGGAGATTGATAGATCGAGATGGAATTATTTCGAACAGAAATTCGAAGAGGAATAACGAGGTCACATTGAACGTTGCAAAATTTCGATGGAAATTGTAGAAGATTGATGGTTCAAGGTGACATTGTTGTTTGAAAGAACGTTTGACTATTTGACGTCTTGAATCATGGAAGATTACTAGCTCTAGGTAAGACTGTTGTTCGAGATAGAAATTGAAATAGAAAGCTAGAAATTAATTCCCATTTAAAGGGAAATCTCCAATGTGAATATACAACTATCGCGCCACTTTTCTCTACTCTTTGTTTCCCGGAGTTAATCGATTTGTCCGATGAGTGGCTCATTTACGTTCGTTAAATTCCATTGGAAACGTTGTTTAAGGTCGTTTCTCGATGCACGATCGTGGAATCCAACTGAAATCCGAGCACGCTGAAAGGGGATCTGGGCGAAATGGACAGAAAGACGCTTCGTGGTCAGCAATTAAGCAGGTACGTCGGGTGGACAGCGAGGACAACTGTCACTCGAAGCTTGTACAGTCACATTCTGCAAGATCGGCGTGTCTGTTCCACTTATACAAACACATGTGTCTCGTATTCAGACAGTAAACAAATAGGCGAACGTGTACAAGATACTCGTATGTTGTTATAAAAGCGAATATGTTACATAAGCTGTGGTGTAACTGTAAGAAACGGTACGGCACGACGGTGCTGTAATTACGGTGGACGGGTGTTCGTATTGGAAAGAATCGATATCGCCAATGTTCTTAGCCAAACGCCGCGATTCGTA